TCGATCTCGTTGATAGATGAGTAAACATCGTTTCATTTTTTTATATTGATTATTATACGATAGAGGTATGTCTCTTTGGTTTTCTAAAATATGAAAAAGTCGTTTCGTTTTCAATGAGAAGAATAACATTGTTATTTTAATAGCCAATGAAATTTTCTATTTAAGGAATTCTATACCAAGGTTTCTAAAAATTAACCGGATCCGGTAGTATTCAAGTGTCGAAAGACTTTGCTGGAGTTGTTTTTTTTTAACAATGCCATTTTAAATAGCATAAAATGAGTGGTTGTCGCATTTTCCATGACCTTCCATCAAAACGTTAAAAGTATCATAAACACGTTTTTTTGTGATATTTTAACTTTTTAGTGAAAGTCATAGAACATGCAGGGAACCCGCATTTTGTACTCTTTAAAATAGCATGATTAAAAAGTAGTTCTGAGAAAGTTTTTGTAGAAGCTTTGCTGTATAACATATTAGATAGAAACCTTCATCGACTACTAATATAACTATTTGGATTTGACCTGATTGCGTGACATTATACAACGAAAAAAACCAACAAAATGTTATTGTTAATTGTTTTTCTACCATTTTATGTATATATGTAAGAGAGGAATTGAATTTTAGGCAGATTTTGATTGTAACTAGGCATAAAACTACGAATTATTTTTCTTTCATTTTAAAATAAATTCTATTTTTTCATTTCTATTAAAGGACATAGCATATACTTGTTATCTTTAAGTAGCTAGAGTATTCATTTTCATGACTTCATATTCTAATATATGCACGAATGACTTCTTCGGCATCGACATGGGAAAATGATGTTCAAAAGCATTTTTGATGTGTAAACAAATCAACATGTTTTTTTGTTTTGAGCATCAAATTCTGAGAGAAGATACATTTTTATTATTCTAACACAAAGAATACGTAAGTTTAGATGTCCTTGATTGTTTTTTTAGTTGAAACTTAACTCAATAGAACTTTATATTCATAATGTAATTATTATCTATTAACTAGATCAAATTCAATGGTAAATAAACATCAAGGAAGAATACAAGTCAGTTAAATCTAAGCTTAAAGATTGTTTCATTTTTTTTATTGTTGACCGGAACTTGCTAAGACAAAGTTAATAGGAAACATATAAAATCAGTTCTTTGTTCTCATACTTTTCGATTCTTTTTTTTTTTTATTTTTGAATCTTAAATCTGAACTTTGTCTAACATATACAGTGATTCCCAAAATTATTTGACAAGGTTTATTTTCACTTTTTTTTCTATTGTAGTAAATACGAATACGAAACCTAAATACTGATTTCTATAGAAAATTTTATTTTCAAGGAGAAGAACTTTTCGAAGATACAAATGATTGCTAATTTTCCCAGGAAAGACTCTCTGAAAAATCAAAACCTAAACTTGTCATGTCTTCAACATCGCAAATAGAATCTCATTTGAAATACTCAAAATGATAGAGCAACTAATTTTCTGATAAATGTTTCTCAGCTGTCTACGACGTTTTCTGACGGATACAGATCAATGTTATAGAAACCATAAAAGTCATTTGTTCTGCTAATTTGTATGAAACCATAATTTTTTTTTTGCATACCGTAACATTGATGTTTTTCAATCAAAAACCATCGTAGACAACTGGCAGATATTTATTAGAGAATTATGTGCAGTATCATTCTAGATAATTCAAATAGAATTCTATCTGTGCATGTGAAGAGATGAAAAACTCAAGTTTTGATTAATCAGAGACTCTATCCTTGAAAAACTAGTCATCATTTTCATCTCTGGAAATAAAATTCTCTATTCAAAATCAATATTTAGATTCTTATTAGTGTTGAGTACTTTTTTATGATTAGAGTATAATGATATTATTTAGAGATGGTTTGAAAGTTTCTAGACAATATATATGACAATTTTTTGCGCATTACAATACATTGATAGGATATTAGAATTAGAATTTTCTGCTGTTTTGGACTATATAATAGAATTTTTCTATGACTATTGAGCTATAAGTAAATTTTGAACGGACTTGCAAAACATTTTCTGAAGAAGCAAATTTCTTATCTTTCTAAAGACAAGTCTATTTATTTCCTGTAGACATTAGATAATTTCTGTAAAGATATAGTACTTAAGATTGATCTCGACTCTATCAAATGATCCGAGAAGGGAGAGTTTGAGTGAATCTAATAAAAAAAAAAAATGTTAGAGTTGTGACGAAAGATCATTTTGCACTGAAAATTTTTCTTTTCCAATGTATTGGAATACACTAAAAATAGTGATAATTATTGTCTAGAAACTTTCGGTTCATTGCTTATACGAAAAGATCAAACATACTTATTTGTCCTTGATATTTATTAAAAGAATGACATCGTCGAACAATAATGTCTTTAACACAAAGGTCATTGCCATCGGAAATAGATTGTCTGGAGAATCTTGAACAAGTTCTTGTTGATATTAAAGATGATGATGATGATGATGACAATAATTCTGTTTGTTTCTTTTCCGATATATTTATTTTATCGTCTGAATAAGATTTTTTATTAGAAATAACATATTTTTTATGTTCAATTTTATTTTCAAATAAGAGATTAAGTGTATCAATATAAATTTTCAATTGATCAACTAAATTTTGAATATTTTCATTTGTTAAAATCGGACTTATGATTGATTTAGTTTGATGTATATTATCTGACATTGCATTTGTTGATGATAAAACATGATGTGATACATGAGGAGCAACTGTAGATGAAAAATGAGGTACAATAGACGAAGTAGTAGATAAATGAGGTGTAGACAGTGTTCCAAAATCAATGTGTGAACCTTATTATTAAACAAGTTGAGAATATATCATTCATTTATTGTTTTTTTTTGTTTCTACCGGATATAGTAACATCTGGTTTAGTTTGATTATTGTCATCAGTAAGTAATCGTGTAAAGGCTAATGAACTAGTTGATGAATCACTGACAGAAGTAACCTTCAATGTTGTCATACTCATCGATTTTGACATTTTCTTTTCGAGTACTTGTTGTTGAAAGAGAATATTAGGAACGAGAGTTGTCAAAATGTTTGTATTATGATTTGTAGTTAATGGAGAGACGAATGATTTGTTTGTAATTGATTGCATGGGTAATGTTTGTAATTCAACAAAAGTAAGTGATGGATTGTATTCAGCAGAATAATGTTTAGAATTTTGTAATGGATTTTCTATGAGATTAGTTTTGTCATTCCCTTTAGGATAGATAGGAAGATAAATTAAAAAAAAAAAAGAAACAATTTTTTAATTTATTATACACTCACATTGATTTATTTTAGTTTCATTGTTAAGATTATTGTGTTCGTTTGATTTGTTCATTATTGTTTGTGAATTAAAAATATCATGAGAAAGTATTCGACGTACAGTAATTATATTTTGTTGATGAAAATTATTAGAAGTTTTTGATTGTGTATTATTCTTTATTTGATTTCTATTAGATTTTAGTCGTTTTTTATCTTTTTTCTGATTCGAAAATTTTTGTCTATTATTATTGCAAATATTTTCTTGTTGTTCTAACAAGTTGTTATTGTCTAATCTTAATGATTGTAAATATAAATGAGATGGATTAAAAAATTGTTGAATTGTTTCATTAAATTGAAGATCAGGTGGTGGATACATTTGTGGATCAATTTGATAATATACATATAATGCTGATAGATTATCTTTTTCCAATGGTATGTATGAATTATTATAATTAGTATCAGATGAAGAAAACAATATTGAATTTTGATAATTATATCCGATTGAATTTGTTTCAATATTTGATTGATGTGGAAGTGATAATAAATGAGATTTGTCATAATCGGATTGATAGAAAAGAAGATTTTTATCAGTATACATGTGTTGTTCTATTCTATGTTGTCGATTGTGATCTGAAGAAGAAAATGACAATATAAAGCATATTGAAATAAAGACAAAAAGAAGATAAAATATAAAGTTAAATAATAATAAAATAACTGGAAATAGTAATTAGTTGGCGGCTATGTTACTAAAGACTATGTAGATGCTTTTTATAGAACACTTATTTCTTCATGTATACTCTTCGTTCAAATATATGCGACCATCTCGACATAACCAAGCTTTCAATGAATTTATTAGTCAGTTCATTCGTTTTAACAAACTTTTGAATAGTTCTCTAACGAATTTCTAATCCTAGTAAGAAAATAGAAAGTTTCGATAGAAATTAGAATATAGGTTCATTGATTAAAACAAAAAAGGATAACTTTTACAGAGCAGCGATATAAATGAGTGTATGTATGCTTGAGAATATTTCTTCGTTTCAATGAATATCAAGCAAATAACACAATACAAATCGTATAGACTTTCGAATATTTTCTGAATAGATGATAGTATACAATATTTTTTTTTTATTAATTTTCCTTTTCTTTTTGTTTAATTATAAAGAAAAAAATATAAAACTATGTCTATTATTATAAGAGTAACCAATAAGAATAGAATTTCGTTAGAATTTATTTTGACATCATTATTCTTGTTATTTCTTATTGTTTTTGTTCATCAGAATGATATATAAAGTAAATTATATTTCTTGACAGTTATTTGTTTGACCGTGAGAAAACCAAAGATTCTATTATAAGTATTCTAAGCATATATACAAATAACAAGAGACAAATAATAAAATCAATAGACAGAATAACCTTGTATTTAACATTATGTTAATAACATAGTACTTCTACTGAATCCAAGACATATATGATGACCGAGTCTGACATTCTAATGTTATTCTTGTATGAAAATACTTTTTATTTCTTATTTAACTACGAATTTTCTTTTAACCATTATCTTAAAAAATTTCATTAACTATTACGGTAAGAGACATAAATTCTATTAGTTTGTTAATTAACACAACACTATAAGTTAATTTATTTGAAGAGTTTTTATTTATTTAGAAAATTAGTTTATCAGTTGATGTGTCTTATGAGTGACAAAAACAAAAGAATTTTATCTTGATTATTTTTTAAATTGTCTTGTTTCATAAAATAAATACAATTATCATATAACTACAGTTGTAAATGGTGGTAAGATTTTAATGAATACAATTCAACAATTTTCTCTTATTTCACAAATTCCAAAAGCTTAGTAGATAAAATCAATTTGGCAAGACATATTCAAGTTCTAAAAACGATTAGTAAATATTTCAATTCTCATAGGTTGTGTATATTCTCAAGAAACGGAGAAAAAAAAAGAAAAATTATGAAAATCTAGTCGCTATATTCTAAGCATTGAGTGAAATAATAGTGATGCCTTCATTTGTCTTGTTCTCATTCATCTATCTGTCTGTCTAATCATCCATCATTATAGTCAGTGCAAGTAATAATTTATGAATAATGTAAAAGGTAAGAGAAGTAACACATAGCTCAGAATCAATAGCAGTTTGAAAATTTTTCTTTTTATTAAAAGGTTCACTGAATATTCTTCATCCAAAAAATACCTATTTCCTCATTCTTCAGATAAAGATTTGTAAGAAAAAGAAGGAAATTTTCAATTTTTTCCGGATTTTTATTATGATACATTGATCATTCAAGGTCCGATCTCATTTTCTATTAATTGAAATACATTAATTAATTTCTTGATTGGTAAACATATCTTGAAAATAAATTAATTCAGCAATTAACTGTTTCCAAAGAAAAAAAACACGTAAAGATTTTAATACTTGTATTTAATCCTGACTTATACTCATGTTATTATCTTAATATAAAAGGATAATTTTTTTTTAAAGAAAGACGTGTTTTCGTAAAGCTTTACTCAATAAATCTTTCGATGGAAAAAAAAAAGTCTTTTGAGTAATTAAACATGATTGAAATTATCAATAAAATACTGAGATTGCAATTTATTTTAAAATAAAACTAAGAAGGTATGTGTACTCGAGAAAATTCGTGCTTGCTTAGCTCTATTCTAGATTGCTTATTACGTTTTTTTTTGTTTAATAGAACGCATATTAAATACAAAGAACATAATAGTGTTTGTTTAAAAAACATTTAATTAAATCGTACTCCATATCTATCTTTGTCAGTAGTTGTTTTACAGAAGCAAGATATTGTGCTAAATATTTCATGCAAAGGATGTTTACGTGTATTAGAGTTTTCTTATATTTGAGTAATCAAGATATTTTTGATAATAGTTCTGTGATATAAACTATTAGTAAAAGATTATATAGAGATGAAAACAACTAGTTAGAAAAGTAGAAAAAACTTTTAATCCAGGATTTACAGTAAATATTTGTTGATTTTTTTTTTAGTTTATGAAAAGTAATAGGTTACAATGAACGAGAAAAAGCCGAGTAGTTATACAAATAGTTAACTATTACAAAAAGAGTATTTTTTTCCTTTTTTTTTTATAATTTAAAAAATATATATTATGTATATAAAATCATTATAATACGATGTTCGATGCAATGTTGTAAATCTAATGAACAAAAAACAAATGACATGTAAGAATATTCTCCTACAAGAACGAAATTATTATAATAAATAACAAAATTTAATTCATTCATTTTGCTATAGATAGGATTTTTTAAGACAGTAATATTCCAAGCTTTTAAAATATATGTATCTTAGTTATGATGTAAGAAGAAAATATTTTTCTAGAGAATATTTTTGAATAGTTTACATTAGATGTCTATAGTTCATAAACTAATTAGATTTTGTTTTATCTAGAGACAAAACAAATAAAGTATTTGCAGTTGTCATATGATGAAGAGAAAAAGAAAGACAAGAGTCCCTTGATAATATATTCAATATAATTACCTCCATTAATTGACATCAAAAGAGGATATATTAAAAATGTTCTTAAATGAAATAAATTCATCATTCTTTATCTTTTCAAACCATTATGAAATCCATATGAATCTTACTCGCAATCTTTTGATTCTATGTATATATATGCACATTTATATTTTAGATCATTTTTTTTTGTCCCCTAATCTTAAGTTTCAATGGCAATGTTTTACATTATTAATCTACTTGCATTCTATAACAATCATTGTCGCATTAAAAGAATTAATATCTAAGGTACGCAGCATTTTTTGTTGCAAATGGATGTATTCATATTGTCTTTAATAATGGCGAATATTTCTTTTTTTACGCATCTTAGGATTGTTAATTTCTATTATATAGTTTATTTTTTATAAACTGGCTTCTATCTTCTGTTTATACATTATTGAAATGAATTTGAATGTATTCATATATAGAAAAGAATGTGCCTCCAGCATTCTATTTATGTCGACAAGAATTAAATTAAACAAAAGAAAATGTTATGTTCTGTTAGATGATGATTTCTAAGCAAAAACATTGACAAAATATAAACGCGTAAAAAAAAAAGAAAAACGATTGCTATTGCCACGATAACAAGGTTATACGACTGACATCATCATTTATCTGTCATATATCTATGAAATAACATCAGTTGTTGTTCACTGAGAATGAACGTGTCTAAAACTGATATATATATATATATGTAGAATTGAGCAAGGACGTATACATATGCATGATGTTTGCATCTATCTATTTTTTTATCTGGTCAGTAATATAAGAATCAGCAATGACAAGCAAGAATAGAAACATGTGCATGCCTGTAAATGTAGATTAAATAGACAAGTAGCTTGCTCCTCAATGCACTTTGTTGCTTTTTTCTCTCACTCGCTCTTTTTCTCCTGAGGGATTTTCCGTTTTTTACCCTACTATTCACTCTCTCTCTCTCTCTCTCTCGCTCTGTTTTCAAAAGAAGAGAGCATCAAAAAAAAAAAAGATGCCCTCAGGTTTTATTAATTTCTCTATGTTTAGTATGTTCATGGTTTACTATATTAAGACAAAAGCAAACGATTGAAACTGACAAGAAATTTTTGTCTTCATGAGAAAAGAAAACGAGAAAGAGATCGTTCGTTTGTAATATCCGGCTCTTATTGAGTAAGCACTACTAGCTCAGAAAAAACGAGGTGAGTATGATGTTGGTTTTAAAACTCTTTGTCATTTCCTTTTTCTTTTTCTTTATTATCATTATTACGTATATATATATATTCATTCATCTAACAATCTTTTCTTTCTCAGTGTTTATAATGACATTTTCACGCTAGCTATTTATGAAATCATATACTCTAGCATACAATCATTGTTTTGTTTGATTTTACTTTCTTTTTTTTCTTTTGGTTAGTAAGTTTTTATTATTTTTTTTCGTAAGAGTATGAGAAATGATGAAGAAAAACTCATAGATTTAATTGACATTAGATAGTCTTATGAATAGTAGTGAAATAGTATCTATATTTATTAATTCACTAAATCATACTAGTTTATTCAGAGAAAATTCCATTTAAGAATTACTTGGTTTTTGTCGATAATGTTAATCATCAAGGAATTTTTATATCATGAAGAGAAAATGCGTTTATCGTAAATTATATATGTGCTTTTAACAATTCTAAAAGCCTAAGATAGCAATTATTGATTTGGAAATTACACAGGCGAAATAAGGGAATAGGTTGTCAATTTTGTAAATAGCAGACATGTGGAAAATGATTTTTTTTCTTCTTGAATGAAATATTCTCATGTAAAAGGAGATATTCACCTTTTATGTTTGGGAACTTTCTAGTAATTCATAACTGTTCTGTTAAGTATGTAGAATTTCGAGTATCTCAGGGGATATATTTTGAAAATAAATATTCATATATAAACAACGTCTGATGGTTATTTTCGCATCATTTGATCAAATTTCATTAATTGAAAACAGGATGTTGTTATTTTTCCTTGTGAATAAACTTGTTTTACCGAGGTTACGAATTATATGTCTGTCATGTAGTAATCTATTATGAAACTAATTTATTGCTTGAAAAATTCCAAAAATGAATTGCATGTAATAATTTAATCAAAAAAAAAAGAGAGGAAAGAAAGTCAATTTTGAAAATATAATAATAATATAATAATATTTGCTCATAAATTTTCATTTTTTGTCTTTTTTTTTTTATAGTAACAGTCATATACGAATGAGAGACTGCTGAAGTATTTTTTTTAATTTAATTTCATGTGTCACACTTACGTGTTAATCATAAGGGAAATACAATAAAGAAAAAAAAATCTAACGAAATCTAATATTGATTAATTATCATTTTGTTTTTTGGATATCTACTCAATAATCTCTGTCTATTATTATTTGAAAAATAACAATGGAACATACATTTTTACTTGGAATATTTGTCACAATTATTGGTTTAGTATTTCTTGGAACAATTATACTTAATCTTCTAGCAATTGTTTATATTTTATCAACACAAGATAAAACAACCATTGCTATGCTAGTTGTTAATTTAGCTATAGCTGATATTATTCATGCGAGTATGTCATATTTTTCTTCTTTTTTTTTTGTTTTTGAATCGTTTTTGTTTTGCGTTTTAGTGGGTATTATTTTTTTCAGTAGTAATTTATTTACACGTAGTTGGATATTCGGTGAATTTGGATGTAAATTTAGTTTAGCTATTGATGTACTTTGTACGGTGGTAAGTATTGTTTTTTTTTTTTTTTTAGGAAAAAAAGATATTGATATATTTAGTGAATACACATGATTTGAAAGAACAATTCTTTTTCTTCTTTTTTTATCATTTATATTAACATAATAGATTCATAGAAAATCCACTCATTATTATTTAAATCTTTATGTCTATAGTATATAGGAAAAAGAAGCTTCCGATTCAGCTTAATAATAATTCTTGCATAAAAATATCTTCTTTTGTCTTTTCTTTAATGTTTTCAATTGAAAATTTATTGTATGTTAATCTTAAGGAGATTTTACACTTGTTCATTATATAATAATCCATGATTATTTTTATCAAAATCGTAGTAATCACTTTTAGGTTACAATATTATACTGTAGATTTCATATTCTATGCTATGTTAATTATGCAGAAAGATTAAGATCATAGAGATTGTCTCTTGGGACAATTTAATCTTTCCTTGAAAAAAAATAATTCTAATTACATACATTAATTTGACTTTATGAAAACTTTGACATTTTGTATTTCATCATCATTAAAAATATGCTTATTATTGTTATTCAAAATTAGAACAGATAAAGAGACAAGAAGTACAATCTCTGTAAATGATGTAGATCATATGAGAGATAGCCTTCGGTGATTTAGTTTGTATGAACGTGTCACAAAATCTTATTTTCTTAGCAAGATTATATGATTGATATATATATTGATTTAATATATTTTTGCTATAACTTAATTAAGAACGTGGTTTCACGATAGTAGTAAGTGACACAATTTCGATCATTGAAAATAATTCATTATTACGCAGCAACACAAGATAAATGTTTTGCAATTTTATACGACCTTTGTGAGACATTTCCTTATAGCTCTATTGATGGGCCTATTACTCAAGGCCTATTAAAACCTTTATATCCCATAAAAATTCTGGAGAATCTGTCAAAAAAAAAAATAGAAGAACAGCGTGTTTTATGATATGTAAAACACAGAACTGTAATATAGTTTAATGTTTCACATTATCCATATAATAAAACATGTAATAAAACATAAATCAATGAAAATATTAATTCTTTGTTTTTCTTTTGCATCTCAAGGTCATTGTTTATACAGTTGCAGCTTTAAGTATCGAACGTTATATTGATGCACGTTCAATTTTACCAGCAAAATTTCGTACATTAATTACATTTGGATTATTAGTTCTTATATGGACACTTGGTCTTTTATTACCATATCCATTTATTTTTTATACTTATCTTGCTGAAAGTACAAATACTATTAATATTAATAATAAAAATTCAACAATAACAACAACAATATATTCATGTCAATCATATTTAACAGAAAATGAATTACTTGTTCATGAAATAATTCTCTATGTTACTGCTTTTATAATACCATATTCAATAATTGTTTTATTTTCATTAAAATTACTTAAATTTTTACGTGTTTGGGTAAAACGTAAAGAAAAATTAACAAATGCAAGTATAACAAGAAGACGAACTCGTGGTGTTAAACTTGTATTATGTATTGTTTTATCATTTCTTATATGTTTTACACCATTTTGGATATTTAAATTTTATACACGTTTTATTGTTGATGAAAATGTACGACGACCATTATTACAACGTATTTTATCTTATGTACATTTACTTGTTGTTTTAATAAATCATTTTGAAGGCATACTTAATCCATTATTTTTTATTGTATTAACTGAACGTTTTTGTTTAACATTTTCAAAACATCGACAACGACATACAAGATTATTAGGTACAAGATCATCTGTTATTTTATTGAATGGAGGTAAAAAATCAGCAAAATTCTCATTAACATCAACAACACCAGTAAGAAATACAGAAATTAATGGTATTTTACTGTTAAATAATGATCAATTACAAAATAATAAACAAATATCACCAGTTATTCCATGAATTCAAATTTACTTTTAAATATGAAAAACAAAAAATTTTTTAACAATAGAAAATATTATATATACCTTATTTTATTTATTCGATTCTTAAAAATGATTTGATAATCGAAATGAAAAAAAAAACACGAACAGAAAATGTATGTCCTGTCAAGTAAATATTATTATGTGAATGAAATATAAACCATTCCAATTATAAATGAAAATATTTGAAATAAACTGATATTAATATACTAATCTATATTCAGATTGTATTTTTCTTTTGTCGTTTATGTTAATAATATATCTTATCAAAATTAAAAATGTCTTTTTTTTTTCATGCATGCAATTTCATTTTAATTGAAATGAAAAATATTTAGAGAAATAATAAATGAAATCAATGTTGTTCATATGTCGAAAAATAATTTTAAAAGCAAAACAGGCATAATCTAGTAAAATGTAATTGTTCAGTGAAATGAAATATGAATAGAATAATATATGAAAGATAAAACAATCATCATATTATCAATTATTACATATTATGCACTTTCGAAAGACAACTTCTCAAGCACGCTGCTAAGGATTAAATGTTTTGAAGGAAATTTATTCAATTAAAATAAAGATAGTTCAACTAGTTTACTTCAAGATGTGAAGTAGTAAAAGCTTATTTATATGGTAAATATTATGTTTACTGAATATATAAAGTTAAGAAAAAGGAATGAATACTTAGAAAAGGTATAACAACCATGAGTAGGATGTAGATATGAATATGAGTATCTCCTTCACGCCCACGTTCATACGTATATCAACATCCTGATTGCCATTTGACGCCCAACGCTGTTAGATAGGCATCTAGTTTCGAGTGGAATACTTCCTGTATTATTAAATGTTACAATGGTACGACAATTATTAAGAAATTTTTTGTTAAACCCACAGCGAAAGCTATCCACCAGTTGAAAATCCTATATTATCAATTATTGTATAACAATTGTACTTATATATATTGTAAAATTGATTATTTAAGTTGAAAATTGAAGAGTCAACTAGCTCCATCTTAGTTGACCTTTTAATTGAAAGTTCAACTTCGATTTATAAATATATAATAAGTGTTAATTATGTAGATAGAATCTTCCAGAACTTTCACAATTATGAAAAAAATCAGAACAAGACTCAAATTTTTTTACAAATGAAATTTGATTACAGTGAAAAAAAAGACTTACAATCAAACTCCATTCATGATACATAAAGAATAATTAATCAATAGAATATCATACTTTTAATGAAATATAATATCTAATTTGAGCATGATTTCTTCAATAACTGTATTCTTTCGATGAATTTATGAGCTGTTGTAGAGGCACAAAAAAAAATCGTAAATATAAGAAGAAAAAATCTTTGTATTTATTTTTTTTACACCTTGACAGAAGTAGAAGTGAGTTCTGCGTTGGCTTTTTTCCTAAGGTCATGACTCAATCTGAAGTTGTTTTTATTTTTTTAGTTGATTTCTTTTTCTTTCTTTGCCTTTCTTATGAAATATCAACGTTTCATACGTCAGATAAGCATGATGCAGCTTGATAAAAAATAAAAAATCATGCATGTTTTTGTTTTTATTTCTTTTGAGTAGTGTCTTTCTGAGAATTTGACCTCATTGAATAAAGAGAACCTCGGTTAAAAAAGAACGGAATAATAAATATGGTTGTCGCTTTTTTTTTATTCATTCTCTTCCTATTTCGTTTCGAAGTAACACAGCATTACGCGAGTATTCTGTATCATATAAACGTAAACGGCTGCTATTGGCGTCATTAGTAACATAACGTATTTATATTACATAGTTTCTTAATATCGACAATAAAACTATGGGATTAGGAAAATCAAGACTCCCAGACTTAAATAATAATATATCAAGCACTGATATATATGATACAAGTTGGATTGAAGCATTCGAAAAATCGTTTACTTTTGTTTGGTGTGATGCATCAATTGGTAATGAAAATAAGCTCGATGATGATAAAAATACTATAATGCAATTAGCACGTATTGTAAATCAAAATCGACAACTTGTACATACATTTAATGATTTAAGTGCTTGTCAAGAATTTATTACAGATGTTGATAATGTATGTCTAATTATATCAGGTGCCATGGGTCAAGAACTTGTACCATTAATTCATAATCTTGATCAAATACATTCTATATATATATTTTGTTTCAATCGAGAAAAACATCTTGCATGGTCATCACCTTATCGAAAAGTTCGAGGAGTATTTAATAATATAATTGATATATGTGAATCATTAAAATCTTATGTTAGTACACAATCATTAATTGATTATGATCGCATAGAATTTGATGTTGTTAGTAATGAAGCAAATCCATTATCACCTAATGACGAGCATTTATGTTTAGTCTATTCAAAATTAAATAAAATAATTTTATTTAATATGGATTCATCTGATCATGGTAAACAAGATATGATAAATTATTGTCGAAATCAATTTAAAACTGAATATCAAACAGAATTAATTAATGATTTTGAACTAAATTATTCTAAGCATAATTCTATATGGTGGTATACAAAAAATTATTTTTTTCAAGGTATTATTAATCGTGCATTACGTACACATGATTTATATGCCTTATGTTCAATGTATCGATTTATACAAGATTTAAATGTAAATCTTTTACAATTAAATGAAAACCAACAAATAACAACTAATTCGTTTAGTCTTTATTTTGGTCAATTTTTATTAAAGCCACATTTTGATGAAATAAAGCAAAATCTTGGTGGATTAATGTGTATTAATCAATTTGTATCTGCAAATTCTGAATTAAGTATTGCTGTTACACATATTGAACAACAAAAAAAATTAATATCAAATGGAAATATAAATCGTGTAGTTTTTCAAGTACATATCGATCGAACAAAAGAAACCAATGTTCCATATGCTAATATTGGTTCTAATAGCCAATTTGTTCATGAAAAAGAGTATCTTATATCAATGTTCAGTGTATATCACATTGATAAAATTGAAAAACTTCTTGGTGTACCATCAGCATGGGTTGTACATATAACATTACTTAGTAAAAATGATCCACAATACAATAATTTAGTACAAAATATAAATGAATATAGATTAGAAAAAATGAATTTAACAAAATTGGGTTATACAATTATGAATCGTTTACATCTATTTAAATCAACTAATAAACTATTTAAAGAAGTATTATATGATAGTCCACAAGAACTTCGAGAAATTATTTTGCATTATAATATGGGTATTGTTTATGACGGTATAGGTCAATATGCAAAATCATTAGAGGAATATCGAAAAGTATTACAATTTGCACGAGAATATATTCCAAGTTGTCAACAAAAAGATGATTTATGTTTAGTATCATTATTTTCAAATATGGCAATGGCATTTGAACAGCAAAATCAATTTAGTCACGCATTGACACATGCATATCGTGCACTACAAATTGTTCTCAATATTCAAAATGATTCTAAATTAAAAAAAGAACTTGAAAGTTCATGTTATTATAATCTTGGTTCAATACATAATCAAGAACAAAGATTAAGTGAAGCAAAACCTTTTTATGATACAGCATTAAGAATTCGAAAAGAATATTTACCAAAAGGTCATTCAGATATAATTAATTTACAAAAACTTATTACTTCACTTACATAAAATTGATCCAATTGATTTTTATGTAAATGATAATTTAATAATTATAAATGGAAATTATATGTGTAGATATTTTTTAAAGTTTCAAAATATATATATTTTGGTTTGAAATGTCTTATTAAAATTTTTTTCTTACCTACCAAAATGATGGACTCGTTTGAACGAGAATAAAACTGTGCTTTAGGAATTGTAAAAAAAAGATGGAATGTGTTTTTTAGTTGTAAAATAAATGTACTTTAAATTTTTCTTAATAAATTATTTGAAAAAATTCACTGTTGTTACATTTTGAAGAAGCAAGATATTTGGAAAAAATCTATGGATTGAGAAATAAAAAAGAAATCAAACTTATCTTTTACAGTTATAAACAATCTTTACATCTTTAATTTAAAGGTAATAACTAGTAAACGTATAAAGATGTTTCATAGTTGTAAACAAAAAAATTAGACTAGGATAACTTTAATTTCTCATAGATCTATGTTATAATGTGTACTTTTATTTAACAAAAGAAAATATTTCGATTTTTTTTCTGTTGTTTTGACAGTCATTTTCAGCTTTTATCAAACATTGGAAAAACATGGTATAATATTAAACTTGAAAAGGGCTTTACATGCGCTACGAAACCTTTTATTTCAGGTCAGCTGCAGCTCCGTTTATTCATAAAATACCCTGGAGCGAAGAAAAGCTGTTTTCTTTTTCAATTTTAAATTAAACTAAGTCAGTTATTGAGTGAAATGTTTTTTTTTAATAAAAAGTCAAGGACAAAAAATTTTCTTTTTGTTTCTTGTCAATTTTTACTAAAAAACACCAAAAATATCAAGAAACTGAGGAAAATCTAAATAATTGAAAAAATCGAAGGCTTTCTATTTTTTATAATGATTAGGATAAATATCATTCTCTAAATTTTTACATCATCTTTTGACAGCTAGTCTCAGCGTACAGTCTTAACTTTTAAGAAAATACTTCAAGTCAAAACAGAAAATGTTAAAATCCAGGCTTTTTCAATAACTGATTTTTCAAGTTTTTTCGATTAAATCGATTGTTTGTGAAACATGATCTAAACGAAGTGTTGAATTACAAAAGTAAAAATATGCATCTCCTTCCTCTTCACAGAAAGCGTTAGACGTTGCTGATATATGACCACATATCATACATCAATAACGTCACGTTCTAATGCATGAACTACTACTTTATTGCATTGCTCCAGGATAAAGTAAAAGGAACGTGAAAAAATATGTCTCAAAATAGATAGAATCAAATAGTTTTCCCATGATTAGTAACAACAGGTGCATCGTGTTCCACATACTAACGCTGCAGGGGTTGCGGTAACACTTTTTTTCCAGACGATAACTCTAATCTTTTCCTACAAAGCTATATAGTTTCATCGGTTAATCATTTTTGTATTGAATATACGTATATAACATCTATTTAAGATGTAGGGTGAAACTTTCGGATCCTCTTGATCAATGACTAACAAGACATAGAGAATAGAGATGTTTTTTGATAAGACATAATTGATTCATATGAGTAGTTAGTAATTTGTATTGTCGTAGAATATATTCGTATTAGTTCTTCAGGTACAATTGTAACAGAAAATGATTTATTTACACACTTATGTCTAGCAAAAAATGAACATGTTGAATCAATAAGTTGACCATACAAAATACAGTCCTTCTCGTCAACAAGATATTATTTTTCTATCAGTTTTCTTTGATAGTACCTTGCATTATTTAAAGTCTGTCTATTGCTACATTGTTTTCCATTTATAAAAACAAAAAATATTGCACTTTATGTGTTCCCATTCAAGATTATAGATACCCAACAGAAATTTTATGAGGTAGAAAATTTTCTATGAATCATTTGTGAACTACTATTTATCGTATTTTAAAAGCATTATTCAATCTTCTTGAGCTATTATTTGACATCCTTTGCTGCTGACGATGGTTTGCGAGATTTCAATCTAATTATTATTGCAATCATGTGTTTCCAAATATATTCTTTAAAACAGCTTGAACAATGGCAAAATCCATTTTTTCATTCTGACGTATTATCCGACAAAGTTACTTTTCATTCCTCAAATTGAAGCTTATACATCATCAGAAAAGAAAAACTTTTGTCTTTGGCTCAATCAAATTTACGTATAGCTGCTGTTTCCTCTACAATACCCTGCTGATCCATTTCCAGTTCTTTCTCATCAGATTTATATATATATAGAAGAATAAGAAGAGTTAATTCACCAGAAAGCGATAGATGCAGGTAGAAGGACTCTCCAGAAAACACTAGAGGTCAAAATTTATTGGTACATCAAGAGAGAGAAAGAAAAAATGTACCTGAATATATTAGAAGATGATGTGTGTATGTATTCATGTATGATATCAAAACGAAAGAAAATAAAGATAAAACCTACGTATGTTAATCGTATCACATCAGCACTAACAGAAAAAAAGACAAAGAAAAATGTGCAAGCTACGTAACTAACTGACAATCGTTATCTTATCTCAATGATATCTACTTATTAATAATTTTTTCTTTTACTTGTCAAATATGTTTTCTCAATTATAAATCTAATTTATTACTTAATAGTTAAATATTTTATTTGTATATTAATTATTGTATTCAGCAAAAACTTTAATTATTGAGAAATATTCATTTCATTGTACATTCAATTCATTTATTGAGCATATGTGAATTTTACTTAACAAAGAAATATATTAGCCATTATTTATTGCAATTTGAAGTTCATATCAAACTTATTAAACTACTCACAAGAGAATTTCACCCGATGTCAAATCAGTTTTCGACCGAGATTATATTCTTTTGATGAATACTGCTGAATAATAGAGAGGTCTACAATGATTTGATTTTCCGAGCCTTCTTTCTTGAAATATCGAAATTTTATTGAGTTTTTCAACAAAAATCTGTAATCGTTTCTCTAAGATCACATTAAAAAATCGACTTTCAAGGTTCAACTTCAAACTTTTGCAGGAACAAATTTCTTAATGAGATTAGTTGATTGTGCAATTAAGTATTTCCTTTCTGACGACATACATATATGAGTGAAATTTGCTTTTACACATGAGAGCATTTCGAATATATCACGATAGAAGATATTAGAAAAGTTACATCTTGCTAAATAAACTAATTTCATCAAAAACTTTGTTGGTGTAAACTTTGAAGTCAAAACTCAAAAGTCAATTTTTTCACATGATTAGAGGAGGATCATAGCTTGTCGTTTAATAACCTAGTCAAATGTCCATATCTCACGAATAATGGTCCAGAAAACCAACCCATTTAAGATTTTTCTATTACTCTCTAGTCCTTATCAAATGAACATTGTCTTGGTCGAAAATCAATTTGACATCTAAAAAAGTTCCTCCGCTAAGTGAGATAAAAAAAGGCTTGCATTTAGTTGCTCAACTTTTTATAGTAAATGCTCAGCATCTTTTTTATCATACGCTCAGTAGTTTTTACTTAGTAAAAAGGTAGTTTTAATATAGTACATTAATTAAAAAGTTCCGTAATTCATTTAAAACAATTAAATATTTAATTTTTTCTTGTTAAGTTTTTTATTTATATCAGCAAAAATAGTAAAATTATAATTATATTACAATCAACATTTTTTTTGTGCAGTAGCTATGACTAGTTTGGCTTGCAAGCACAGAAGTGCATAAGATTCGTTGAATTGCAACTTCCAAAATAGTTAAGAGTTTTGGTACAAATTATGATAGTTGCTGGAGAACCAAAACTAGACTCCTGTACTTTTCTAGTTCTTTGTTATAAGATAGACTGAATTGAAGCATTTATTACACTATTTTGTTCATGCACGCGTTCATTTCTAATTAGTACTTTGTGAATCTTTATCTAGAAACGTGAAATCATGCTTATCAGGATACTTTGGTTTTAAAAACTATCAAAATTGGAAGGTGGTACTGAGGAAAAATTTCTCTAAGAAATATACCGAAACGGCTTTGCCCAGCATCGTCATCTCATAAGATTATGTACGTTTCAGAAACGCACAGATATATACCTCAATTATCTTGAACGAACTAGAAAGTAAACCTTTTACTACCGAATAAAGGCTCCTCAATTTTATGAAATAGGTAGTACAGATCATATGAATGTTTTAATAATGGATATCGTACTCATCTCACATTGGCACCTATTTTTGAGTCTAAAAATCTCTCGCATAATTTGAACCGATCATCGTTCAACTGTGAGACTGTATATAATTCCATAACAGGAAGAAGTTGAACAGAATAGTATTAAAATAATGCCTATTACCTATTCTCTAGATTCTAAACAGATGTCTCTCACTAACATCCATGAAAGCACATCTTTTGGTTCACCAAAGAAACTTGTTTGTTCACTAATAGAAAACACGTAGAACAAGAGAAGTTAGATACATCAACGAAGTTACAGCTAAATAGCAAAAAGACAATTAACTAATCTATTCGATGATTTACATTGCTATTTTGTGCTCGTTCCAATAGAATGGGCTTCTATTCTGTGGGAGAGAAGTAGGCGTTACGAATTTTTCAGCTTCTTTGACATTGTTAGACATCATTTAGTTTCATTCCATGTCGTTGTCCCTTTCCTTTTCCCGTTATTCACCGTTTCATTTGTATTTATCCTTTCATCGAAAATATATGATGAGAAGACAAAAAAAAATACCTGAACAATATCAATAGAAGGAAATATTTGAAAAATACTTTAAAGCAAAGGGGAGGCGAGAAGAAATACTCTATACGTATATTCTATTCTACGCAATTCGTTTGATTAATGATCCCATCATCAATCGACATGAAAAACTATTCTTCTATTTATATCAAAATGACTACTGATACGAATATTATTCATTGAATGAGTAAACTAAATTATTGACTGACGATTTGTATATTAAATCCTGAGCCAATTATATCGGATGTTTACAAAAAAATACTGAGCATTTAATTTGTCCACAAACAAGAACAAAACATTAACTAATGTCAAAATCACCGAAATGACTAATAAAGAAATCATTCATATTTAAAATAATAAACCTACAAAAAAAACAAATCTCAATGTATTTCAAAACTGATGATATTTATATGAAAATTCTTAAGTTTAAAATTTATTATCAACAATGAATATATTGCATGCAAATACAAAATTTTATTTCTTCATGCTGATTAAAAGAAAGCGTTGAATAGAATTTTTTTTCGTTATTTTTATTCGTTTATTTGCAGTGATCGTTCAATGTTTATTTTTTATAAAAGTATTTTGATCATTTTTATAGTCTTTGGATTTTCTTATTACAGTTGTAAGACAAAAAGAAAAGTAAATATAGAATAAATAATTTTATCCAAATCGTAAAAAGTCACCTTTTCGACTAAAACGAAACAAACTGCTTGGATATGATTGTTGACCTCGTCGACCGAAACGAAGAAATGTTCCTGTATTATGACCACCACGATTAAAACGTGAAAACAATGGACTTGAACGACCAAAACGCAGAAATGATCCTGATGATGATGGTATTTGTCTACCGAATCTTAAAAATGATGTCGCAGGACGCATGTAACCATTTTCTTCATCACTTTCACTACTGCTCGAAGATACATCATCATGATCAAATATTGGTTTTGATTGATGAACAGGATTTAATTGATCATATGAATTAACATCATGTGGATCTATTATTAATAAAATAAATAAATCTACATATCATAATATCAAATACAAACACACAATATTAATACGTACTACTCGATGCTATTGCTACCAATTGTATGCAGATAAGTGCCGATAGGATAGTGAATCGATACATTATATTCAATGAATGATGAGAAAATGATATCTAAATAAAATGGATGACAGAAAAAGAAAATCAATTCTTTGTTACTTTCGCTATTTGCATATATATATATATATATAGTTTTCAAAAGAAGGAAAAAAAAAGAATTTTTAGTCAAATCAAGTAAATTTTTTCTTTGACTTATTCGAATAGAATCGAAGTAGAGCACTTTAATTAATGACTTTCATATAGAAAATATTCATTTACTAAATCAATTTTTGAGTAGATAGAAACAACGAGAAAAACATTGCAAAAAAAATTAGTGTTAATGTATGCGCAATAAAATTAGTAATTATAATGACATTTTTTCATTTCAAAAGTATACTATACCGCAATCAATAATTGTTGATCAAGGGTCTATGCACTTTATGAGCAATTTGAGTAATGCTTTCTTTTTTCTTAATTCTGCTATCTGCCAATCTCATTGCGGACAAAAACATTTATGTGTGGTACTCCTGACATTGTTTACCTGAACTTTTTCCCATCAAAAATGTATACATTTTCAAAAGATTAAAGTGCCCTTAATAATCTATATATGTATATATATAGTTTTATCTAGATTTATATATTACAAAAGATTTGGTGTCAAAAATAAATATGAAAACATATGCACATGAGTCTCTCTCAATAGAATCAATCTAAAAATAGTTTGATATTTATTCAAAAAAAGTCCTTAAAATATTTCACCAAATGATTATAAATTTCCGGTTATTAATAGCAGTCATTGTCATAAATAGACTATCTTACTAAATTATGCTTCAATTATCTATATTTAAATGAAAAAAAATGAATCGAAGAAAAAAAGAAATTAATAGTTTTTTTGTCTGCTCACTTTCAATACTCATACCAACATCATAGTCAGTGCATTATTCATTATATTATATTGCTCATGAACTTCTTTTCTAATCTCATGAATATAGGATAAAAATCATATTTACTTATTGCTTTAAAAATAAAAGCATTCATTACTTTTAAATCAACTATTTGATCTCTCATTGAACATTCGATGATAATGAAAGATATTTTGCCATTCTCTTCTGTTTTTTATCTTGTTCTATTAATATACTTATTTACCTGATAATAATGATGGTTCTAGTTTTCTAATTCACTCTCTGGACTATGTCTTGTTTTCATTCGTAAGTATAGAAAAAAAAAGAAAGAACATGATGCAGTCCAAAATGTAATATTAATAATCCATTCTGTATTATCTTCTACTATCAACTTACTCTTTTTCTAACTATATTAATATCAAAACTATATCCGTATTCACGTAGCCCATGTGAAAGAAAAAGGAAACGAACAAGGCGTGCTTTCCAAACATGATAATAGGATGTTGAAATATCGCATACTTGGAATGTGTTGAGCGATAGTAACTATCTTAGTGTATGATATTTATTGATAAAAGAGAGATAATAAAAAAAAATCTATAAATCAAAGTCAAGGTGTAAATGTAAGATTTGGTAATCCAAAAATAACAGCATTTAATTGTTGAAGTTGCAAGGCTGGTCGTTGTCTTTCTTCTATAGGTTCTTTTGTTGGTGGTAATTCGGAAATAATTCCAGTTGGAGGAGCTAATGATGTCTTCTTTTTATTGTTTAGATCCATTTTAGCTGCTGATTGTGGTTGTTGTTCTTTGCTTTTAGGCGATGGTGAACGAGTTTTTTTATTAACCGTAGTATTTCCTTTCGCTTTTGTGTCTTTTGATGTTGCTGTTGTTGCTGTTGGATCGATTTCAATTGGACGAAAATATGGATATACAAATAAACGTAATGCTTGACTTAATGAACAACGAAGTGTTGCAATATCTAAAAATAAAATTTAATTATTTATTATAATTATCAAATTGCAAATTATTACCTGTAAAAATATTAATTAATAAACTTTCATTTTCATTCATTGTTGATTTCCATTGATTAAGTAATATGGATTTAATACCACCTGAACTCCATAAAAGTGCTGTTTCAGTTGCATGATCAAGTTCAATTGAATCATTTTCATTCAATGATCTTAAAATTTTCATAATAATCATATTCATTAATATATATGTATGAAATTTTCTTCAATACTTACGATATAGGTGTATTAATTGTACTAGTTGATGTTCGATCAAATGAACATAATATTGTACAACCTAATTCAAAATAACAAAAAAACATTTTTTTATTACATAAAATTTGAGTTTTTTTTTTTTTTTACCATTTTTAGATAATGTCGGACATTTATATGATCCTAGTAATTCACCTAATGTATGTGCACCATAATAAATAATACCTTGTGCTTCACTAATAATACGTTCAAGTTCGACGGTACTAAAAGAAAAAAAATTTATAAATTAAAATCTTTCTATTAAATTAATTAAAATAGCATAAGACGAGGTGAGGTGTATATAAGAATAATAAAGAAGTACCATAGGGATAAATAATAATAATAATAATAAATAGAAGGGTATATATATTGTCTATTTAAACTTACGAAAATGGTTGAAGAGAAAGAGATACACTCTTTTGTGACCTGAAAATAGCTAAATTTAATTTATCTATGTCGCAGTTGGTTAGAGAATTTAGTTGAGATTGGAATTCATATAAATATAGAAATAATATCTATATCTATATTTTTAATTAATAGGAAAGAAAACAGAATTGGTAAATTTAGCAGAGTTATTTCACATATAATAGATAAATTATTCTTTTTTACGAGAGACAAAGTAAAAATCTGAATGCTTTAAAATATATTATTAACTTAAAAGAATAGTTTATACAGAATATAAGGGAAAAATAATATGGCGGTTGTTTATATTAATTTGATTATTTATTTATTTTATTGATGAGCGGGACATGCGGGACATTGAAATTTCTATTAGATAAAAATATACAATTT